AAAACATGAAAATGACAGATGTCTCCTCTAGCAATAGGTTGATTTGTGTATTGATGAAACGGTGAAACCATTTCATTCATGAAATATAATGGTAAAAAAATTATGTTTTATTATTCAAAAGGTTTCATTATGTGAACTTGATTATAGTGTGTTTTATGTTTCAAAAGTTATTACGATATACCTAATTTCATCGGTCCTTACTTTGATCTATTTTTATGATAGATGTTATTTTGTTTATAATATTTGAACATCAAATGAAGATATTTTTAGCAAAACTATAATTTTCAGGGTTATTCTAACATTTTTTGTTAGAATCTTTGGAAGTATAAGATGATATATATAGTTTTTAAAACAATGATTTTGTTTCATTAATATTAGGATATACATGATCTTGTTGCCTCGGTTATAGATTTGATGTTTTATATTTTTGCCCTTTTTCAATTAAAAAATAAACTTTTATTTTATTTATTTTTGTATTTCTTAATATAAACTAGTCAAATCTTGATCATTGATCAAGAAAATGGATGGATGAGATTGGTTTGTAAGGTTTTCACAAATGAGGGTGGTTTTCATTTGATCTCTCCTCTCTCTCTCTCTCTCTCTCTCTATATATATATATATATAATTAATTTTGCACTATAATTTCTACCATTTGGGTTGTTTGGTTTCCAACCATGGTTATAGATTTCAAAGAGGGTCATCCAAAGAAAGACAACTCTATGAGGCAAACCCCATTATTTGACACAAACACATCCAATCCACTTTTTTTATACACTTCATTTTTTTCAACTCTTCACCAATGTGAGATATCTCAAACTCAACGACAATTCACCAACACCGCAATACACTATTTTCATGATGCCACCTCAATATATATATATATATATATATATATTATCAACCCCTTCATTCTCTTGTGAATCTAATTACACGAAACGCCTTAGTTCGACTAAAATAACTAACATAGCCCGAACGGATCCAACAAATTATTGTGTATTATTTTGTTATAAGTTTCTAATATTGCTTCTTAGCCTGCTTGAATTTTTGTTCAACAAATAATTACATCTCCAATTGCTTGTCAATCCCAAATGGTTTAAAAAAAATTACATTCATGGAAAATTTTAAAATAAGATCCGATCATTGATGTGCATTTGCAGTTTTTGGCTAATTAACATTCATTCCATGAGCAAGGTAAACAGATGATTTTGATTTCAAGTTACAAGTTATATCATGACAAGCATGTGACTACCATTAGTCATTTTCTAATTATCCTATTGGAAATTTTATCTTTAGTTCATTCTTATCGAGTAACATTTTGTACTTATCTTCAAAACAGAAGAAATGTAGTTACCATAAAAGGATCAACTGTTGTTCTATTTTTTCTGTTACAAGTCTTTTTTAATAACTTTAAATTTGCATTGATTGAAGTTTTTCATGCCATTGATAAAGTTTCTGTGAAATATAAGGGAAATTGATGTCATACTTAGGAAATTAGGTATTAAGATATATAAGAGATATTTACAAGATCCATAAGTCATTTAACAAAGCCTTTTTTTAGCATAATTAGGGCATGGGTAAAACACATCCTATAGTTTACACGCAGGCCCGACCCTGGGCATGGGTAGCCCGTGCGACCGCACAGGGCATTAAAGCCCAAAGGGGCATCAAATTTTTATGTAGTATTAGTTTTGGGTTTTGGGGTTTAATAACTTGAGACTCGGGCTTTAATTATATACAGATCCCCAACTGACCAGGCCCGTTAATAAAAACCCAAGGACTTGATCGACGACAATAGGATAGACGCATCACAGTTTACAAGATGATTGGCTTTGGCGATTTAAAATGTGAGGATTTCTATTGTTCTTTGAGTGTTCCTCTTTTTCGATTTTTGACGATGACGTTCCAACGGTAACGAGTCTAACGACTGTCCATGGAATGATGAATTGATATTGATGTTCAGTCAATGCATTGTCGATTGCCCGACTATATATAATCGAATACACGATTGTTGATTAAACTCTCAAATCTCAATCCGTCATTGTTTCTCAAATCTTAATCCTTCAAATCTAGACACTACTAGAAAACCAGGTATCAGCGAGGGAAAATTTCCCTCGCAGATCAGCGAGGGATCAGCGAGGGAAATGCCAAAAAACTCATTCCCTCGCTGATCAGCGAGGGATCAGCGAGGGAAATACCAAAAAACCTTATTCCCTCGCTGATCCCTCGCTAATCTGCGAGGGAAAGTTTCCCTCACTGATCCCTCGTAGATCAACGAGGGATCAGCGAGGGAATTGCCAAAAAAACTCATTCCCTCGCTGATCCCTCGCTGATTTGC